CCTTCACCCTACTTGTTGGTGATAGTTCACTCTTTCATTTTCATCGAAAAAACCAAATGGGAATAGTACGCACAACCAAATTACAAAATGATCATACACATATAACTTTAGTTATGTGGAGAACTGTGAACAATGAATTAAATATTGAAGTTGAATAGGAATATTAGCAAGCTTTTCTCTTTCGAAAACTCTTTCAAAAAGATGACATTATTTTGTAATAAAAATCTAGGCTTTTTAGTAGAAAAAATTAGGTTTTCAGTACGGTTGATAAAAGAGTTGTTTTCTTCATTTAATTATACACATATTGTGTAATTTAAAACTAAAGAAAAAATAATTAAAAACTGTAAAAATATTCAACTTTCAGGAATTTATGTAGTTGAATTAATCAATTTTTTATAAATAAATCTATGTCCATAATGTGTTGGCTTTGTTTAATTATCATTTGTCATAAATATGTAGACAAATCTACTAATGGGCTTTATAGAGACATGTTAACATTTGTGGAGGCCCACTAATAAATAGGATCGAAATGTCATGACATTGGTTACTTATCAAAGTGTAGTAAAAGATTTGTATATATATATATATTTAGTTTGTGAAGATTATAGAGTTTAACAAAGATTTATAAACTTAATGCCTTTTTTATTTCCTTAATTTTCTTTAGTTTATTTACAACAAAATTTATTAATATTTTAAATAATATTTTGGCATATTTCAAAAGTACATGCTACATTTTTTTGAAATAAAGTAGATATTAGTATATAAAAACTTAATTTTAAAATATTAATACTTCCCTTAGATAGTTTTTTATTTCATTTTGACACTTTACTTCAACTTTATCATTCAAGTGTCTCATGTATATCTAAAACAAAATATTATTAATTTATGGCTTTATCTTCATGTGCTGAATATTGGTCTGTATGGTGTGATTTATTTATTTGTATTTACTCAAATGAAACCATTAGACAAATTTCTTACTATTTTTAAGATCTATATAGGCTTATGGTGTGCTTGTTGATTCATAGTGATGTCATCCTATATGCTCATAAAAAAAAACTTACCCTATTTGGAATTTTCAAAAGTTGAGTTAAGCATGGGATGACAAAAACTAAAAGTTTCTATACGTTAGTTCCTTGATTAAGTTGAACTAAATTCATAATCCTTAATAAACTATAAACTAAAGGAAAATTAGATTGTGACATTTAAAGCTTTTAAGCACAAGAAATAAACTCGCTTTTTTTTTTAACTATCTAGTAAAAAAAATAAACTTGATATGAAATAATTTTATTAAAAAAAATAAAGTATTAAATTTTTTTTCAAAGCTTTCCATATTCACAAATGGCTTGGCATCTAAACTAACCACATGTTCACCTTCCTTCACATGCTCTCTTTTGTAAGTTTTTTTTTATCTTTTCTATCTTTTTGAGACCAAACCTGTTATGTATGTATGTATATGTATATGTGTGTCTATATATATATATATATATTAGATACAGACATATAGATACTAAAGCAATATATTTAATTAAAGGCTCGGCTCTTCTAGGGTTTCGGGACTTCAGGGCGTTTTCATGGCGATCTTGAAATCTTCTTCATTTCTCTTCGGATCTGCAGTGAGATCTCTCCTTTTCTGCTTTCTACTAGCCATTTCTTCCTTTTGCCTCTGTTTTTTGTTGGTTTTTTTTGTACCCGCGGTCGCAATGCCCATGGGTAAATCTTTCGTTGATGCTGTCTTGGATGGAGGAAGGGGATCCTCCAACCCCAGCACTGGGGAGCATTTCCCTCAGGGTTTTCATGACTCTTTGAACTTAGGTGGAGATTATTCCTTCATAAAGAAATTGGGGGAAAAAATGGAAAACTTGCAATGTATATCACTGATGTTGAATCTTCTATTCTTGCATCTTCCTGTCGTTTGACACTTGTAGGCAAGTTCACATACAATATTCCTAAAGTGGAAGTAATTCGTAGAGAGTTTGATATGTTGAAGCTTAAGGGATGGTGGAATGTTGGCATTTTAGATGGGAGACACTTATTAATCCAGCTTGCTAATGACGAGGATTACACTAGGCCGTTTTCTAAACAATTTTGCGAATTGAAAATAGGGTCATGAAATTTCTCAAATGATCGGTGGGCTTTGATTCTAAATCTAAATTGCCAGTGATACCGATATGGATCAGATTTCAAGGCTTTAAACTACATCTTTTTAATCATGAAATACTGTTCTCTCTAGCTGCTGCATACGACAAACAGCTCAAAATGGACACTGCCACCTTTGCTCTTACTAGACCCTCAGAGGCTCGTGTCCTTGTAGAAAGGGATATTACTCAATCATTTTGTAACGAAATATAGATTGGCTCACAACATCGTGGTTATTGGCAACAAATGGAGATAGAACGTCACTCTCCTTATTGCACACACTGCTCAATGTTTGGTCATCATACAAATCAATGTTTTAAATTAAACCCTCATCTTAAAGGAAACAATCAAATTTACTCAACAGATACACCAACTACTCTAAATGATAACCAAGATAATAACCTCCATGGTAATCCTACCACCGTTGACCTTCGTACGAATCAGGTTGAGCCCCAAAATGAAGAGGTGGATCCTCCAAATATACCAACTATTGTTGTATCTCTACCTAATGCTGCTACATCCATCCTTTGCTTTGAAAAGGATAACCCAATACCTGTCGCACTTGTTACTTCTAATGATCCTTCTGGATTACCTACTTTTCCTCCTCCTTTGCAGGACAATGCGACTGATTTAGATGTTTCTACTAAGCAGAATGTGCAACAAGATTCGGAAAATCCCCCCCTCCACATCTCATGTCAAGATATTCTCATTCCTCCTATACAAGAACATAGTAATGCTATTGTCTCTTCTCATGATATTTTGACCCCCATTTCCCCTGCTTACAGGTGTCTCTTCAAGAAGCTACTAACAACTTGGAAAATAAATGACATGTTCAAAGGCACTCCAGAAGGAAAGGTTAAAAATATAAAGAACTTGCAAAGTTAAATGATCCTAACATTTCACGAGAAGGTACATATCACTCTGATGGAGAGCAGGTAGTAAATCCTACTAGATCTTCTAGTAGGATTGCTTCCAGGCATCATGTTTAAAATCTTTATATGTAATATTAGGGGAGTGGCTGACCCTTCCTCCCTTAATAGATTGAAGCACTTGTGTAGGTTTAATAAAATTTCTATTTTTGCTATTCTGGAGCCCATGGTGACCGTTAGTACCAATAAATTTTTTTGCCATTTCAAAAGTTTTCATCACGTTTGCAACAAAAACAACAAAATCTGGATCTTTTGGAAAAGAAATGCCACCCTTTCCATTGTGGAGGAAGATGAGCAATTTGTTTTAACTCAGTATAAGATCGAGGATTACTTTGGCTGGACCACCTTTGTTTATGCTAGATCTTTGTTGCAGGATAAATATATTTTGTGGCACAAACTTGAAATTATGGGAACTACTATTATTAACAATTGGTTTTGTGGTGGTGATTTTAACATGATAATGAAGCATACTGAAAAGAAAGGAGGGAGAAGGTGTGACATTGCTCTTATAAATAGATTTTGTAATTTTATCTCTCAAGCTGGTCTTTTTGATTTAGGTTATGCTGGAGCTACTTTCACATGGAGAAGGGGATTGCTTTCTCAAAGGCTGGATCGATTTCTGGGGAATGTCTATCTATTAAGCCACTTTCCCATTATGCAAGTTCAACATTTAAATTTTGCTTCCTCTGATCATAAACCTATTTTGTTAACTTTGGATTTCAATTACAAACCTATTATCTCTCGTTTTAAATTCTTTAACATTTGGACTACTCATGAGTCTTTTTTGAGCTTGGTGCAACAGGCTTGGAATATAGAGATGGTTGGCTCTCTTTGGTACATCTTATGGCAACTTCATAAAAGAGTTGTTGCTTATTTGAGAAAGTGGAACCTCCAAGTTTTTGGAAATGTCCGTCACAAAGTTTCTGAGGCACAAAGTGTTGTTGATCAATTGGAAACACAAGATATCTGTACCTCTGGTTGGGTTGACTCCATGGCTAAAGCTCAGCTGGATCTCCTTACTGCTATTAATTTGGAAGAGGAATTTCTATAGCAAAAGGCTAATGATATATCCTTTATAGTTGGGGACCGTAATACTAACTATTTTCATGCTACTCTTAAGCACAGAAGTAACATCAATAACATCCTGAAAATTAAAGATATGGATGGGGACATAATTACTAATATGGATGAAATTGGTGAAAGTGCAACACAACACTTCACTGCTCTCTATCAATTTATTGTGCACACCTCCCCGATTGACTTTACTCTATTTATGGAGGACAGGGATTTTATTAATTCCCTAACCTTATCACATATATCTGATGAGACTAAGGTATACTCTGCTTTTCAATCCATTAATTCAAATAAATCTCCTGGCCCTAAGGGTGTAAACGAACCGAACACGAACAAACAGATCTCATGTTCGTGTTCGTGTTCGGTTTGTTTGAAATTAATTGTGTTTGAATTTGTTCATGTTTGAAATTGTTCGTGAAAGATTTGTTCGTGTTCGGTTTGATTTGTTCAAAATTTGTTCGAATTGTTCGTATTGTTCAATTGTTTGAGTCGTTCGAATCGTTCGAGCCGTTCAAAATGTTTGAAACGTTCGAAATGTTCAAATGTTCGAAAATTTTCATTTTTATTTATAATTTTTGAATGGTTAAATGTACAATGACAAGCCTTTTGTATTATGAGGAATTGACCCACACTCCATGGCATATAAAAATTTAAAATATAGATAATTAAATGAATTTTCTTTAGTTTTGCATAAAAAATATTGCAAAAAATTAAAAAGAAAATCACTCAAAATAAGAAAACAATTATATTCAATCACTATCTCTCAAATTGTATATCTTCAAATGGAGGGAAATTGTAGAAGAGCCAATATAAAGACAGACAGTTAAAAGACATGAAATATTACATTAGTTTTTGGCTATATTAAAGAAAAAATGAAGTATTCTGCATAGAAGAGGTTCCAAATAAATCGATAGAATTGTAGTATGGCTTCCATCAAATTTGGCTATGTTGGCTTCCATCAAATTTGGCTATGTATTTACTGAAAGAAAAAGCTATGTTGGATTGAAGAAGATAAGCTCATCGTGGGTTCAAATAAGTGGTAGTCCATCAAATTTGGCTGTTGCAGATGGATGTTTAACGCAAAGAATTTTGGAAGGTTGAATGGCGGAAGAGACCTCTCACTGCAAGTAAATTTGTTTCAGGCAATGTAAAAGATCAAAATTAAATAACTATATACAGAAGATGTTTTGGTAACAAAGGGGAAAAATAATACTTCAGGAGGGGCCAAATTTCCCTTCCATTTGCCATGAAAAGAAAAAGAAAAAAGTATAAGAGCGTTCTATATTCCCATGAAAAAAAAAGAAAAAAATATACCCATTTGCCATGCATGATGATGCAAGTGAAGTCATTCTGTGTGGATAATTCATATTGTTATCAGGAGCAATGAGAAGCCAGAAGACTCCATGGAGAAGAAATAGAAGATTTTGTTCACAGGAAGTTAGTTAATTGTACTAAAACATATCAAAATAATAGAACTAACAATTAATTACTCATTTTTATTTATATACGGGGACGAAAGCTCATTCATATGATGCAAATGAAGTTATACAAAATATACATCTTTAGCTCTGTATTCTGAACAACAACCAACACTTCAAGCTGCAGTAAAATATTCAATCATACAACCAACTAGAAAGTCCAACTCAACCGAAATCAGGGAGGGGAGAGAGGGAAAAAGCCCTCTTGCCATTTTTGGGAGTTGTTGCACCTCTCTCAAGCCCCTAAATTTGAATGCAGTGGATGAAATAGAGAAGAATTTCATTGTAACCGACCACTACCTATAAAGAAAGCCCAATAATAAAATAGATATAAGTTCACAGCCAGCACTTCAAGCTGCAGGAAAATATAGTTCAAGCTGCAGTAAAATATGCAATCGTACAACCAGCTAGAAAGTTCAACTCAACCAAAACCAGAGAGGGGAGAGAGGGAAACATCCCTCTCACCATTTTTGGGAGTTGCTACACCTCACTCAAGCCCCTAAATTTGAATGCAGTGGATGAAATGGAGAAGAATTTCATTGTAACCGACCACTGCTCATAAAGAAAGCCCAATAAAATAATATATATATGTTCACAACCAAAACTTTAGTGATACAATATAATAAATAAAAGGAAATAAGGTATATAAATCAGCAAATACTCTAGAGAGGAATTATGCTTCGATTATGAAGGCAAAATTGGACCTCCTTGCCTCAATCTCCCCTTAAGGCACATTTACATGGAATCTAAAAGGCCATGACTTTTGTTAGCAAAAAGACGAATTGAAGCAGCTATTTTTCACTAAGGAAAAATTATACTCATCTAAAAAATTGGTTGGTTTCATTATAACATTTCTTTTCACCATTTACCCACAGGGCAAATTTGGGATTTTAAAAAATTAAAATTAAAATTTGCTAACAATTACATCATAGTAATTAGACACTAAATAATACAAAATCAAGGAAATTAAACTAAGATGACAGATGACAGATGAATAAGAAATGATGACAGATGAATAAGAAATGATGCAACAACTGCCTTACAACAATGAATAAGAAATGAATAAGAAATGAAAAGAAACAGTATTTGAAATATTAATGAATGAGAAATGAATAAGAAATGAATCAAGTTTAGAAAGCTATGTCGAAGCTCTTTTGATGGATGATAACAACAGATGTTTGCTACATCAGGAAAGTGAAAGTGTATATTCCCTGTTCATGCACACAACTATATTATTCAACTAGCTTCCAACTAAGCATTCGATCTTATCCAAACTATGCATTTATGACACAAGATACCTACATTTTATGCAAAAAAAAAAAAAAAAAAAAAAAAAAAACAGAAATTAACTCATAAAAGCCCTACATGACCTCATACAGAAATTTCAGAAACTTCAAAACCTAGGTTTCACTCAAAAAAATTAAATAAACCTAAAAAAATTTCTTAAAATTTAAGCTAAGAGGCAAACCTGAAAATAATATGAAATATTATAGAAAATATGCTCAAAGAAGACGACTCGGTAGCCTTACAAGCAACCAAGCACCAAAGCAAGAATACCAAGAGTGGTCAATCCAACGCCGACTCGCCGAGGACAAATACACTTTATCGAAGACAGATAAAAATAGAGATTAAAGAACGAACACAACCAATCAACCTTAAGCTCCCACCGAGAGTCGTGATTTTGAGACAAGAAGAAGGAGGGTTCTTGCAGTCACCGAGAGGAAGCTTTTCACGATTTTGAGAGAAGGAGCAGCCGAAACTAAGAGGAGAAAGAGCGAATGAGCAGTCGAAGGCCTGAAACTAAGACTAGAAAGAGCAGCGTGCTTTCGAGAGGTGAAAGGGCGAACACGGACTAGGGCTTCCGCCTGAGGGTAATAAAAGGCTTTTTTTCATTTGTTTTGTATATTAATATATAAAAATAATAATATAATTTATTATATTAATTATATACCTTGTATTATATAAATATATAATATATATATTACTAGGTAGTATATAAATATATTATTATTGAATAATTTATTGTACATTACAAGATTTAATTTTTAAAATATAACAAATTTTTTGAGTATATAATTATTTTTAAAATATCATAAATATTTTATATATATTTATTTTAATTTTTTTTATTTCGAACAATAACGATTCGAAAACACGAACGAACACATCACTGTTCGTGTTTGGTTCGTTTAACAAATTGAACGAAAAAATTATTTGTGTTCATCTCGTTTGCTTATCGAACGAATCGAACATGAATTACTCGATAACAACGAGCTTTTTTGACAACCCTAACCCAATGTATTTTGTTTGGTTAGTGATGGCCCTGATGGTTTCTCCTCTTTCTATTTACACTCTTGGAGTATTATTAAGAAAGAGGTCATTTTAGCTATCCAAAGTTTATTTTGTGGTGAAAATCTAGGAAATTATTTTAGTTCTGCTACCATTGTGCTCATTCCTAAAACTAATGACAAGCTTACCTGGGATAACTTTTGTCCTATTTCTCTTACCTCTGTTATATCTAAGGTCATAAGCAAAATTCTTGTCACCAGACTACAGCCTCATCTCCCTCATCTTATATCCCCAAAACAACCTGCTTTCATCAAAGGTAGAGAGATTACTGATAATACTTTGCTGGCCCAGAAAATAATTGAAGATCTTAATAAAAAATGTAGAGGGAATATAATTATCAAACTTGACATAAAAAAAGATTTTGATACTATTAGCTGAGACTTTATTCTTAATGTTTTGATTGCTAAAGGCTTCAAGAATGACTTTTGTATGCTCATCAAAAGGTGGCTGGAGACCAATCACTATATTGTGCTTGTTAATGGAAAGGCTTATGGTTTCTTTCCTGCCTTCAGGGGTATTAAGCAAGGGGATCCTCTCTCCCCAACTATTTTCATTATTGCATTTGATTACTTTTCCCGACTTATCAATCGAGCACAATTCCAATACCGCACATATAATACTCTCACAAGTCTAATATCTTAGTTAGCCACTGAGCATATGCTGATGATGTTATTATCTTCTCTAATGCAAGTAAAAAAATTTCGTTAAGGGCATTATGAATATCTTAGAGGAATTTCAGAATTCCTCTAGCCTTCTTTTGAACATACCTAAATGCTCTATATACTTTGGCAAAATATGTTTCCAATCACATTGAAAATTGGGCCACTGATTACACTGATTATAAAAGTACTAAGCTCCCTATTAAATATATTGGAGTGAATATTCTTAAGGCAGGAGAAAGCAAAATCAATTTGGTGAGGTGGAAAATAAAATTAAATCTAGGATTACGGATTGGAGAAACATTTTTTTATCTAATGGTGGTCGACTCACCTTACTTAAAAGTGTACTTTACAGTTTGCCTCTTTATGCTTTGCAGGTTATTAAGGCCAAAAAAAGAACATCGAAAAATCTCGAAATCCTTTTTAATAAATTTCTCTGGCTCGGGTCTGGCTCGGGCAAAATTTGGGCTAATTGGGCTAGAGTATCTATGCCTCAATCCGCTAGAGGTCTTGGATTTAAAACATTGCAGCAAATTGTTGATATCAGTATGTACAAGCTTTGGTTTAAATTTCGGGCTGGGGAGTCCCTTTGGACTCAATTTCTTTATCATAAATATTGCCACACTGCTCACCCATCTACTATGACTTGGAAAACTGGTGATTCTAAACTTTGGAAGGCTATACTCCTTGCTAGAACTGTTGTCACTCAACTTATTTTTTGGGAAGTTGGAAATGGTAAAATCTCCTTTTGGTATGATCATTGGGGCACTTCTGATCTTACTAGCCTTCCACATTCAGATATTACTTCAGACTTATTGGTTGCTGATGTTTGTGATGGTGAGAATTGGAATATTAATATGTTGAGGTCCTTGGTGGGAGATTTAGCTCCTTCTATTTCTACTACCTTTATACTTACAGGTGGAAGAGATAAACCTATGTGGAAATTCATTTCTACGGGGTCTGTTACTAAAATGTTATATAGAAATACTCATTGCTATCATAAATGAAAATGGAGCTCTTCCATATGACATCCTTTTATTTCTCCTTCTACCTCTTTTTTTCTATGGAGATACTTATATTCCTTATTGCCTCTTGATGACATACTTAAGCTAAAGGGATGGAGTTGGCTTATATTTGCTACATCTGTAAGAGAGAAGCTGAATCTTCCCATCATCTATTTTTTGAATGTTGTTTTGCTAAGAATGTTTATAATACTGTCGGTGAGCTACTTGGTGTCTACTGACCTAGTCCCTTTAGTTTGAATAAACTATTAGAGGCTTGACAAGGTGTCACCTCTCTTCCCTCTAAGATGAAATACTTTCTTTTAATGGTTCTTTGGTTCATCTGGCTTGCTAGAAATGATTATAAACATCACTCTTCTCCCCCCTCTCCTACTACTAATGTTTCCTTCATCATGGCTAATTTTTATTACGCTACTAGAGCTATTAATAATGCTAATGCCACATCGAATTTGGATGGAAGGAAGAGACCTGTTTTGGTCAGATGGTTACCACATTTATCTGGGTGGCTTAAGGCCAACATAGATGCTAGTTGGTCTAATATAGCTGCTTGAGCTGGTGGTTTGTTTAGAGATAGTAATGGGATTTGCCATGCTTTCTTTGCCTCACCTATTGT